AATTTGAAAGAATCTGTGCATCCCAGTGTTCATAGCAATGTTATTACAATACCCAAGATCTGGAAATAGCCCAAGTGCTATTAGTAGATGAGTGGCTAAAAAGGCAATGGTACATTTACACAATGGAATACTACACAGCTATGAAAAGGAAGAAATCTTACTTTTTGCAACAGCATGGATGATGGACCTGGAGATTATTGTGCTAAGTGAAATAAGCCAGTCAGAAAGACAAATACCATATACTCTCACTTATATGGAATCTAATGAACAAAATAAACGGACAAACAAAATAGAAACAGAGGCATGGACACGTGGAACAGACTCACAGCTGTCAGAGGGGAGGTGGGAGTGGATGAAAAAGGTGAGGGGATCAGCCAAATAACCTACATGCATAACACATAGACATAGACAGCAATGTGGTGATGGTCTCACAGAAGGAAAGGTGGGAGATTGGTGGAGATGAGCAAAGGTGGAAAAATGGGGACATCTGTATTAGTGTCAACAATAAAAGAAATGTCCCCATTTTTGTGAATGTCTGGATACTTTTTAATTTTAATTTTGTTTACCTCTTAGACTCATTGGTTATATGGAAGACTGTTTTTCTGAAATAGTTAAGCCTTCTTAAAATTATCTTTTTCTTACTTTGGTTTTCTAGTATTCCTGGATTATGATGACTGACCTAATTGATATAAACCATTACTGCCTTTTGTGATTTAAGATTTTCTTTCTGACTAAATACATTATCATATTATGTTTATCATTCATGAACAAAAAGAGCATTTCTTCTTCTTTTTTTAATTGATTTTTAAAAAATTTATTTAGTTATTTTTCAAGTACAGTTTTTTTTTTCAATTTCTCCCATCCCGGCCCCCCCCGCCCCGTCTCCCCACCTCCCTCCCATCCCCCCCCACAGTCCTCATCCCTGTGTCTTTCATACTTGTTCTTCAAAATCCCTCCCCATTTTTCCCCTTAAATTCCCTTCCATCTCCCCTCTGGTCGCTGCCCACTTGTTCTCTATTTTAGTGTCTTTGTTTTTATTCTATTTGCTTGTTTATTTTGTTATTTAGCTTCCTGTTAAAGGTGAGATCATATGGTATTTGTCTTTCAGCACCTGGCCTATTTCACTCAGCATAATGCTTTCCAGTTCCATCCATGTTGTTGCAAAGGGTAGTAGCTCCTTCTTTCTCTCTGCTGCATAGAATTCCATTGTGTATATGTACCACAATTTTTTGATCCATTCATTTACTGACGGGCACCTAGGTTGCTTCCAACTCTTGGCTATTGTAAATTGTGCTGCTATGAACATTGTGGTGCATAGGGTCTTTGAAACTGATGTTTTAGGATTCTTGGGATATAATCCCAGCAGTGGAATTGCTGGGTCAAAAGGCAGGTTGATTTTTATTTTTCTGAGAAAATTCCATACTCTTTTCCATAATGGTCGTACCAGTCTGCAATCCCACCAACAGTGAACTAAGGACCCCTTTTCCCCACAACCTCTCCAACATTTGTTGTTTGTTGCTTTGTTTATGATAGCCATCCTGACCAGTGTAAAGTGGTGTCTCATTGTGGTTTTAATTTGCATCTCTCTGATAGCTAACGATATTGAGCATCTCTTCATGTGTCTCTGGATATTCTGTATGTCCTCTTTGGAGAAGTGTCTGTTCAAGTCCTTTTCCCATTTTTTAATTGGGTTCAATGTCTTCCTAGAGTGGAGTCGTGTAAGTTCTTTGTATATTTTGGAGATTAAACCTTTGTCTGAGGTATTATTGGTAAATATGTTTTCCCATACAGTTGTTTGTCTTTTTAATTTAATACTGTTTTCTTTGGCCATGCAGAAGCTTTTTATTTTGATGAGATCCCATTTGTTTATTCTTTCCTGTATATTCCTTGCTCTAGGGGACATATCGGTAAAAAGGTTGCTGCGTGGAATATCTGAGATTTTCTTGCCGATGTTCTCCTCTAGGACTTTAATGGTGTCACGGCTTATATTTAAGTCTTTTATCCACCTTGAATTTATTTTGGTGTATGGTGTAAGTTTGTGCTCAAGTTTCATTTTTTTTTTGCATGTAGCTGTCCAGTTCTCCCAACACCATTTGTTGAAGAGGCTATCTTTACTCCATTTTATGTTACTGCCCCCTTTGTCAAATATTAATTGACTGTAGAGAGTTGGGTTGATTTCTGGGCTCTCTGTTCTGTTCCATTGGTCTATGTGCCTGTTTTTAAGAGCATTTCTTCTTGATGGATAAAAACCCAATTAAAAAATGGGAAAAGGACTTGAACAAACACTTCTCCAAGGAGGACATACAGAACATTCAGAGACACATGAAGAGATGCTCAATATCGTTAGCTATCAGAGAGATGCAAATTAAAACCACAATGAGATATCACTTTACACCAGTCAGGATGGCTATCATAAACAAAGCAACAAACAACAAATGTTGGAGAGGTTGTGGGGAAAAGGGGTCCTTAGTTCACTGTTGGTGGGATTGCAGACTGGTACGACCATTATGGAAAAGAGTATGGAATTTTCTCAGAAAAATAAAAATCAACCTGCCTTTTGACCCAGCAATTCCACTGCTGGGATTATATCCTAAGAATCCTAAAACATCAATATCAAAGAACCTATGCACCACAATGTTCATAGCAGCACAATTTACAATAGCCAAGAGTTGGAAGCAACCTAGGTGCCCATCAGTAAATGAATGGATCAAAAAATTGTGGTACATATACACAATGGAATTCTATGCAGCAGAGAGAAAGAAGGAGCTACTACCTTTTGCAACAACATGGATGGAACTGGAAAGCATTATGCTGAGTGAAATAGGCCAGGTGCTGAAAGACAAATACCATATGATCTCACCTTTAACAGGAAGCTAAACAACAAAACAAACAAGCAAGCAGAAAAAAAAACCAAAGTCACTGAAATAGAGAACAAGGGGATAGTGACCAGAGGGGAGATGAAAGGGAAGTTAAGGGGAAAAAGGGGGAGGGATTTGGAGGAACAAATGGGAAGGACACAGGGATGAGAACTAAGGGGGGTGGAAATGGGAGGGAGGTGGGGAGCAAGGGGCGGGGGAGGCTGGGATGGGAAAAATAGACAAAAAACTGTACTTGAAAAATAACTAAATAAAATTAATTATTAAAAAAAGTTCTCTATGTGTACTTGAACATATTGGCTGTATTATTAAATTCCTGGATATAACCATCTTTTTGACTACTTAATTTGTCATTTTCTGAAAAAGCTGTATTATATGTTACTGTACCTATATTTATGGTCAAATTCTCTTTATAGTCTGAGGAATTTATGCTCTATATATTTGCCTGCCTTTTTAATACAAAAAAGTATATGACTGTTATATCATCATAATGAATTGTATCATTTCATATTTCAGTCTTGAAATTTGCTTTATCTGATATTAATGGTACCACCTGTGCTTTCTTGTTGTTTATATTTACCTAATATATCTTTGGTCATTCCTTTACTTTTAACTTTCATTGTCTCTTTGTACCAGGTGATTTTCTCATAAACAATGTATAGCTGAATGGAGCTTTGTTTGCTTTTTAAAGATTTTATTTACTTATTTTTAGAGAGAGAAGACGGGAGGGAGAAAAAGAGGGAGAGAAATATTAATGTGAGAGAGAAACATTGATCAGTTGTCTCTTGTACACGCACCAACCAGGGTCTGAACCTTCCACCTAGGCATGTGCCCTGACCTGGAATCAAACTGGGTAGTTTTCACTTGGTGGAACAGCTGACAACCCACTGAGCCACATTGGTTAGTCAGGGCTGAGCTTTGTTTTTAAACCAAATTTGATGTCTCTGCCCTCTGATAGTGGAACTCAATCTTCACTTATTATGATATAATTTGTTTAATTCTTTCCAAGTGATACAATGTTTACAATTTATTATGCTGACTTTCTCTTTTCCCTTTCCTTTTTCTGGTTTGATCTTAGTTTCTTTTCATTTTCTTATTTTCCTCTTCATTTGGAAGTTCTACTTTGCTTTTTAAAGCATTTTCCTAGTGCTTATTGTCCCATCTATAAGAATCATCATTAAAACTTTGAATGTATATGATAAGTAAACACTAATCTGCCCCCCCCCCAGGTGTTTTACTTGTGTTACCCCTCCTCACATTCCTAACCTAAAACCCTTGGCCTGTGGTTGCCAGATTTAGCAAAAAAAGAATACAGAACACCCAGGTTAATTTTAATTTCAGGTAAACAATAAATGATTTTTAGTACAATCATCACCATGCAATAGTTAGGACCTACTTATACTAAAAATTATTTGCTATTCATCTGAAATTAAAATTTAACTTGGTATCCTTTATTTTTTAAATCTGGAAACTATGCCTTAATGTACTTCTCAACTCCTAGATTTTTCAAAGATGATGTATGATGTTAAGTTTCAGGGTATTACTATAAAATGATATCCATCATCATACTAGAAATATTTTTTTAGAAAAATATTTACTAGTTGAGTATATATACATAATATCTCAGGACTCCAATTTCTATTTACTCAGAGGAGAGGTTTTTTTTTTAATCTTTAGAAGGGAAGGGAAGGGAAGGGAAGGCGAGAGGGAGAGAAGCATCAATGTACGGTTGCCTTTCGTGGGTCCCCTGCTGGGAACTGGCCTGCAGGGAACCAGCCTGCAACCCTGGCATGTGCCCTGACTGGGAATCGAACCGCGATCCTCTGGTTCGCAGCCCTGAGCTCAATCCACTGAGCTACACCAGCCAGGGCTTTAGAGGAGAGTTTATGTCTTTTATCCATATTCATTGTTCAGAGTCTACTGATACTGGTATATGTCTGATGTTTTTTAGCTTCAAAGTAGACATTTTTGGCCTCTTCACAGTGGACTGCACTAGATAATTCATTGAAGATGTCCTAAATAAGAGTGATTAATGCACATAGGATGCTTTTGTTCAATACTTGTTGAATGGATAAATTGTTCTTTAAATAAACACATGTTAAAATAAATTACTGTATTTTGCAGGTGAAATGCATAGATGTTATTCAGGCTTATATCAACAGAATCATGGATGTCAACCCACTGATAAATGGAATTGTCAAGTATAGGTGAGCATTTTTACTGTCGTGATTTTTGTTCTATTTCTATGGCCATTGCCATCTTGCCATATATCTTGGACTCTTCTTCTTTGTCCTTCTTTTGGTTTCACACTGGGACCTGCCCTAGTTTATAATTCAGCACTGCCTGCCCTATGTTGATCTTTTTATGTTTCTGTGTCTGCATCCTCCCACCCATCATTCGCTTTAAGATCTTTGATGGCAAGGAATATATTTCATTGTTTTTTACATATTGAACATCCAGAACGAGCAAGGCCTGAACCTCATAATGCTTATTGAAATAGTGGGTTTGGGGTAGCAACTCCAACAAGACAACCCTCCATTACTACAGACTTTCCAATGTCAATTTAGTAGGGTAGATGTTATTTTAAAAATCTATTGCAGCTCTAACTGGTGTGGATCAGTTCATTGGGTTTCGTTCTGCAAAGTAAAAGGTTGCTGGTTCAATTCCCAGTCAGGGCATGTGCCCAGCAGATGGATGTTTCTCTCTTACATTGATGTTCCTCTCCCTCCCTTTCTCCCTCTCAAATAAATAAGTAAATAAATATTTTTAAAAATAAAAATACATTATATATGTGATTTCTATGTCTCAGTTACCAAGTAAGCTCTTCCAGATAGCTGTGAGGAATTAAAAGGGCAAAACTTGGATTTGTTTTTCTGTGGCATCATACATAGCACAGTTCTTATCATACTATGATATAGAGTGGCATTTCTTCAAATCTCGATCATTCATATGGCATCTTTAAGATTCTTTTCTTGTTTGCACAGCCTATTGTTAATTAATATACTCATGATTGAATCACTTATTTTAACTTAAGCCAATTATTTTTAAATAAAAGTTTATATCATTGCAAAAATTAAAAAATATTATCACTTCACATAGACAGTTACTGTATATGTAAATAAAATAAGAAATAACCAGTATTATGAAATTGTAAACATTTAAAATTTTTTTATGAAATATAAACACTACATAAAATAGATTGTGCTTTATAGTTACTTTTTACATATTTTCTTATTTAATCATTTCAAAGTCTTTTTGAAAAGGTATTACATTTCCTATGTTACAGATGTGAAAATTGTGACACAGTATGTGGCAGAGCCATGATCCAAATGTATAGGCATCTCATGCTAAAGCTCATAGAACAGAAGTACAGAGAGTTTTATGGTCCAGGAGTTCTCTCTTGTGCCTTTCCCCTTGCTATGAACTAGCCCTACACTAATCCCATCCTCCAACACTTAGCAGCTCCTCATGCTGGAGATATTTCCCCAGATTCTGTCCTGGATTTTTTATTTGCAATGTAGTGGGTGGTTAATCTATTGACAGAGTATACCTTTAAACATCTGAGAGAGAAAAGGAAATACAAGAAAAATGTATTACTTTTATTTTTCTATCGTAGTTTAAAGGGTATGAGTCTTAACAAGGAAGGTCTTATACTGTAGAACTTGCTTCCCTGTGTGAAAATATTATAATGAAATCTGAGAGAGAATTAAATTGCTGTTCTGTTTGAAAATGATGGGTGGGCATACAAACAGGAGACTGAAGAGGCTCCAGTTAGGTAGCTGGGGGAAGTGGGACAGGGTAGTAACTGTCAAGGGATTGAAGATTTGGAAAGAGAAGACATGGATGCCTCTAAGGTGGATATTCAGAAATAATTTTATGAAGTTTGTCCTATGTTTAACATCAATGTTTTTTCTTGCCTCCTTTAAAGTACACCAAAAGGGCTTTATTGTGCCCAAATTATGTTTATATTATGTTTAGAATTACAATATTGACATAAAAATGAAAAATATATGTAAAGTACACAGTGCAGACCCTTATGTCAGTCACTCAGTGTTAGCTATTGTTATTTGTTATGGTTGTTGTTACCATAGGAGTGCAATAAATGGAACTAGCCTCATGATTATACACAGTTCTACTGTATCGCTATCCCCCTGTTTGCTTGACACTAAATTGAGGCATTTCAGTGATTAAAGTCATACAGCTATGAAGTAAATATAGTTATGGTCTCTAAATCTGCTGGTTCCTAGCTTTCGCTTCCTATTCTTCATGACTGATCAGAAAATGTTTACCACTTTATTAACTTCTTCCCAAACCTGTTCTTCTGCCTAGTCACACAAGCAAGACACCTGGGTGTAACCCTGGGTTCCACCTTCTCCACTCCTTTCCAAAGACTATCTCCCAACTTCAGTGTTGAAGAAATACCTGCTACAATTCTTCTCATTGCTTTTTTTATGATACAGAGGATTATGGCCTATTTCCTAAATTTTATGTAATTTCTGCTATTTCTCTGTAAGCTCTCTGATTTGGGAAATTTGGCTTTGACTTAGTCTGCTAAAACCCTAATCCTTTGATTTTCTTGACAGATTTTGTTGACTGTCAGGAGAACTTGATGATATTAGTAATTGTAGATAGTTAAGGATTTATTACTTCCAACTTGTTAATTTTTATAATTGTTTTGTATTTCCTTTGTTTCTTCTCCTCTTGCCACCTTCCTTTATTTTATGATAATATTCTTTAATGGTATGTTTGCTCTCCTTTCCATGTATCTTTTATTTATGTACCATATAGGTTTTTGCTTCATGGTTACCATGAGGCTTATATAAAACATCTTGTAGTTGTAACAGTCTATTTTAAGTTGATATTTTTGATCACATATATAAGATACCCTCTCCTTACCCCTTCCATATTTTGTTTTTTTTTAAGATTTTATTTATTTATATTTACAGACAGAGGAAGGGATGGAGATAGGGAAAGAGAGAAACATCAATGTGTGGTTGCCTCTCGCGCACCCCCTACAGATGACCTGGCCCACAACCTCGGCATGTGCCCTGGCTGGGAATTGAACCACCGACACTCTGGTTCTCAGGCCAGCACTCAATCCACTGAGCCATACCAGCCAGGGCCACATTTGATGTTTTTCATGTCTCAATTTATATCCTTTTATAATATACATGCAATAGAAATTATTTTAGCTATAGTTATTTTTAACACATTTGTCTTTTAAACTTATATCAGATTTAAGTGATTTATACACCAACATTATATTACTAGAGTATTCTGAATTGACTATATATGTATCTTTACCAGTGAGTTATATACTCTCCCCTGCCCTACCCACTACCACCTTCCGCATTCATTCCTCCTTCCTGCCATTGTCTTTGTCTATGGGTCCTTTATATATGTTCCTTGACTTGATCTTTCTCTTTCCTTTCCCTGTTGTACCCCTCCCCACTCCCCTCTGGTTACTGTCAGTTTGTTCTTTATATCCATGTCTCTGGTTATATTTTGATCACATGTTTGTTTCTTTGATTAGGTTCCACTTGTAGGTGAAATCATATGGTATTTGTCCCTCACCACATGGCTTATTTCACATAGCAGAATGCTTTCCAGTTCCATCCATGCTGTCATGAGGGGTATGAGCTCCTTTCTTTCTGCTGCATAGTATTCCATTGTGTAAATGTACCACAGTATTTTTATCCAGTCATTACTGATAGGCACTTAGGCTGCTTCCAGCACTTGCCTATTGTAAATAACGCTGCTATGAACATTGGGGTGCATAGTTCTTTTGAATTGGTTCAGGATTCTTAGGGTATAGTCCCAGCAATGGGATCGCTGGAGCAAAAGGCAGTTCCATCTTTAGTTTTTTGAGGAAATTCCATACTGTTTTCCACAGTGGCTGCACCAGCCTGCATTCCCACCAACAGTGCACTATGGTTCCCTTTTCTCCACAACCTTGCTAGCACTTGTTGTTCATTGATTTGTTTATGATGGCCATTCTGACTGGTGTGAAGTAGTATCTCACTGTGGTTTTAATTTGCATCTCTTGATGGCTAGTGATGGTGAGCATCCTCTCATATGTCTCTGGGACCTCTGTATGTCCTCCTTGGAGAAGTATCTGTTCAGCTCCTTTGCCCATTTTTTAATTAGACTTTGTGTTGTCCTGGATTAGAGTCATGTGAATTCTTTATATATTTTGGAGATCAAAGTTTTGTCTGAGGTACCATTGGCAAATATGTTTTCCCACAGGGTTTTTTTTTTCATTTTGCTGATGTTTTCTTTAGTAGTGCAGAAGCATTTTAGTTTGATGTAGTTCCATTTGTTTCTTCTTTCCTTTATTTCCCTTCTGCTAAGGGACATGTCAGTGATATTGCTGTGTGGAATATCTGAAATTTTCCAGCCTATGTACTCCTATAGGATTTTTAAAAATGATTTTATTTATTTATTTTTAGAGAGAGGGGAAGGGAAGGAGAAAGAGAGGGAGAGAAACATCAGTGCACGGTTGCCTCTTGCGAACCCCCCACCAGGGACCTGGCGTGCAACCCAGGCATGTGCCCTGACTAGGAATCGAACAAGCAACCCTTTGGTTTGCAGGCTGGTGCTCAATCCACTGACCCACACCAGCCAGGGCCTATAAATTTCATTAATTATATGTGGAAACTGAAATATAAAAAGGTTAAATAACACTCTTAAGAACACACAGTAAATAGTAGGGCTGCTACACAAATTTATGTATTCTTGCTGCAGACCAGTACTGTGCAATAAAAATAAAATGAGTTACACATATAATTTTGAATATTCTGTTAGTCAAATTTTGAAAAATAAAAAGAATTAAGTTCAATTAATTTTAATAATTTATATTCTTTATGTCAAAAATATTATAATTTTGACATTGCACTAGTCAATTTTCAAATAGTAGAAACAAATGGCTTATGGCTACTGTATTGGACAGCTTAGGTCTAGAGTCTGTGTTCTTAGGCTGTAGAACCAACTAAACCTTGATATAAAATCATGGTTTTGTGATTTATTAGATGTGTAATCCTGGGCACAATTCTTAATATCCCAGATCCCAACTTTCTTCATGTGTGAATTGTGTATAATAATTGTACCTACCTCACATGATTGTTAAGATTGACCAATTGTGTAATGTTTAGAGCAGTTCCTATCACGTATCAATCATCATTACCATCCATCATCATCATCATTTATTATCATCATCATTTATTATTGTGGCACACTGTGGAACTCATATTTCTTCCTTTTTTGGAATATTGTCTAATATACCTGGCAGTGATAAATTCTTCTTTCTGTACAGACCCCCAAGTGTATTTGCACCCATTCTCTTTTTTTTTCTTCTTTTTTAAAATAGGGGAGAGGGGAGGGAATTTAAGGGGAAAATGGGAGGGAATTAGAAGAACAAGTATAAAGGACACAGGGACAATAACTAAGGGGGGTGGAAATGGGAGGGAGGTGGGGTGCATGGGGGAGGGGTGGGTTGGGATGGGAGAAATAAACAGAAAACTGTACTTGAAAAGTAACTAAATAAAAAATTTAAAAAAAGAAAGCCAAGAAAAAAATATTTTATTTTATTTTTTTAGAGAGAGGGGAAGGGAAGGAGAAAGAGGAGAGAAACAGCAATGTGTGGTTGCCTCTCATGAGTCCCTTATGGGGACTTGGCCTGTAACCCGGGCATGTACCCTGACTGGGAGTCGAACCAGTGACCCTTTGCTTCACAGGCCCATGCTCGATCCACTGAGCTACACCAGCCAGGGGTGCATCTGTTTTCTAACTACATCTTTACAACCTCCCTGCTAGGTAGATGTCCCAAATTTACAATTGAGGCAACTGAAATCCAGCAAGGTAAAGAACTGGTATAGATTACAAAAGTAGGGAAGGATAGCTCCAGAAGTATTGTTCATTTTAAGGGCATAGACTTTAGCCCTGGTGGTGTGGGTCAGTGGATTGAGCACAGGCCTGCAAACCAAATGGTTGCCAGTTCAATTTCCAGTCAGGGCACATGCCTGGGTTGCAGGCCAGGTCCCGAGTAGGGGGTGCACGAGGGGCAGCCACGCACTGATGTTTCTCTACCTCTCTTTCTCCCTCCCTTCCCTTCTAAAATAAATAAATCAATATCTATTATTAAAACTTAAAAAAAAATAAAGGCATAGACCTTATATATTTTTTGTTTGAATATTTTGAATATTTTTTGAAGCAATTAATAAACATTCATTACTACCTCAAGTGAGGCTAAATATTCTTTATTAAAGTTAAATTTTTATATCACATGACAGTTTATTTAGAGGATTTAAAATTTTTATTTTGAAGAACTGTTTGAGATACTGAGAAATTCTATTGGGATCATGTAATTTATGATTGTATTACCACATACACTTAAACTGTGTTGTTTTAGGCATATTAATTTAATTGTATGTTTGTGGAATTCTTATAATATATGCTTATTATAACCTCTTTTAAAGAGTTTGCATCATAAGAATTTCCAAAAAAACAATAAAAACTTTTAGAACACATTATTATTATTGACTATACAATTTTTCATAATAGATATCTATAATAATTTATTTGGTGATGGATTAATTTCACATTTTTTCAAATACAAATAATGATTCACTGACCATCTTTCTGTTTGTATTTTATCAGTATGTTAGATCATTGTACTTTAGATGAATTTCTAAAAGCAGAATTATTGGCTCAAAGGGTTATCTTTTTAAGTATCCTGACAAGTATATTTATTCTAACATGTCAATCCTTGTTCTTTTAATAATTTGGGTAGATGGCTACTTTACCTGCTTTATCAACTGGTGGTTGGTGACACTAATTAAACACCAACAGGAATCCCCAGTTTGGGGTACAGTGAACAAGAAAACGTTATTCGGTGCTAACAGCACAGTTGTGATATAGTTTGGCCATGAGAACATCACACCTGTAAAATAGCTTGATAGTATTACAGTGCAATCATGAAGCAGGAAAGCATGGTTTTGAGGCAGTCCTGGGGCTAGTTCACCCTGGGGTTAGGCATCTCTCTGGCTACACAGCTGTGGTCTGCTCTAGTCTACTCTGGTGTTCTGTGGTGTGGTCCAGTCCAGTCCAGTCCAGTCTGGTTTGCTCCACTCTGCTCTTTTGCTCTGGGCTATTGTGTTCTACTCTGGTGAGACATATTCAGTGTTTTATCTTTGGTGTTTCAACTGTAGCAAATGAAACACAGCCTTCAGTCTTGAGTGGAAAGGAAAAGTGTGCTTCAAGAGCCAGTGGAGAGGTGACTTATGTAATAAGCCCCCACTCCTGGACTCTGATTAGTCCATCCTCATGCAAATGAGGACCAAGTCCTCATGGTTTGATTGCTCCAAAAGACACTATCCTGACTGGTCAGAATAGAGCCTCTCTGATTAGTCAATAAAGATGCTGATGCGGATGTAGATGCAAAGCTCTGATTGTTCAGGGAAAGCCTCTGTTCTCTTGGTTGAAATAGAATTCAGAAACTTCTCTGTAAAAGCTGCCTCAGATGGAAGAACTCAGTGCACTAAAGCAGTTCAGTGCAGAGGCAGGTAGTTCAGTGCAGGTTTCTCTGTCAGTTTGTGTGAGAGCCCCATCTAGAAATGGCTGCTAGGCAGTTTTTAAAATTTGATCCCAGTTAGCCACCTGTAGTAGTTCTTCTTAGAAGGTATCTTTTTAATTAAGGTCCACAGCTTTCTGTAGCTGTTTCATTTTTTTCTAGGTTTGAGGAAGCTAAGAAGGAAGCTCATGCTATAGATAAAAAACTTGCAGAGAAGCAGGAAGATGATGCCACCCTGGAAAAGAAATGGCCCTTCCTTGGGGTTCCTTTGACAGTCAAAGAAGCTTTCCAGCTAGAAGGTACTGTTCTTTGTATTTTCTTTCTTTATATAACATGTATTGAACTTAAAAATGGCCTATATCTTCTCAAGTTAAAAACTAAAAAAATATATTACCAAAGTGGAACAATAATATTAAGGTTCTTCTTAAGTTTTGAATTGATGGGAAATATTGTGCAAGTTTCATTGGGAAGAGAGACAGTAATGACCATCATCTCTTAGAACTGTATGGTATGTGAGGGGCTATGCTCAGTGCCCATTAATCCTCAAAGCAGCCTATATGAATAGTATTATTATCTCATTTTTCAATTAAAAAGTTGAAATTCATGACCCTAAAGTAGCTTGACTAAAACTAAGCTGAGACACTGATAAAAGCCTGTGCTTTTTCTATAATGCAATTCTTTTAACTTCTGATAGCCCTTAAAAGTAAATGAAAACCCCAGACATTTGACAATTGAACAATATTCTTTTAAATTACATTAATGGGTAAAAGAAAAATCAAAAAGGAGCTTTTGAATTGAAAAAATAAACAAAAGGAGCAATATACTAAAAACTTATGGGATACAGCTGAACAAGTGATTAGAAGGAAATTTATATTTTTGGATGAGTATATTTGAAGAAAAGAAATACTTAAAATCAATGACCTAAGTTTCCAATTTAGCCAACTAGAAAAAGGAGAAAAAAAAAACAAACCTAAACCAAGCCGAAGGAAAGCAAACAATAATTATTACAGTGGAAAACACTGAGCTAGGAACTGTGAAAACAATAGGTAAAATTGATGAAACCAAAAATTGGTTTGAAATGATCAAAAAATTAACAAGATTTTTAGCTACAGAAACTGAGGGGTGAGAGAGAGAATGTAAGGGTATAGGAGGGATAAATGGTGATGAATGGAGTCTTCACTTGGGGTGGTGGACACACAACACAGTATACATATGATGTGTTGTAGAATTGTGCACCTGAAACCTATATAATTTTGTTAACCAGTGTCACCCCAAACAATTAATGAAAAGGAAAAAAGATCATGAAAAATGTGTAATGAGTACCGTTTTTAATCATATTAAGAGAACTATAAATTAATAGCAATAACTTTGTAAACACATTAAACAACATACATGAAATGGAAAGATTCCTAGAGAGACAAAGTCAAATTGATTCAAGGAGAAAGTAAAATATGAACAGACATGGCAAGTAGAAAGACTTTAAAATTTACACAAAGAAAAGCCCAGGCCCAGATCATTCAACTAGAAAATTCTATTGAATATTTAATGAAGAAATAAGCAAATACCAAAAAACTCTTTTAGAAATTAAAGGAGGACTTTCAGTATTATGTTAAATAACTTTGGTCTTAACCAGAACAATCAGGCAAGAGAAATAAATAAAAGGCATTGAAATTGAGAATGAAGAAGTAAAATTGTCACTTTTTTCAGACAACATGATTCTTTACATAGAAAATCTTAAAGATTCCACCAAAATATATTAGAGACAATAAACAAATATAGCAAATTTGCAGGATGCAAAATCAGTGTACAAAAATCCACTGCATTCGTATATACTAACAATGAAATTTTATAAAAAGAAATAGAGAGCCCTGGCTGGTGTAGCTTAGTGGATTGAGCACAGGCCTGTGAACCAGACAATCACGGTTCAATTCCAAGTCAGGGCACATGCCTGGGTTGCAAGCTGGTTCCCTGCAGGCCAGTTCTCAGCAGGAGGCACACGAAAGGCAACCATACATTGATGTTTCTCCCTCTCTCCTTCCCTTCCCCTCTAAAGATAAATAAATAAATAATCTTTAAAAAAAGAAATAGAAAAAAATAATGTTATGCAACTGTAACAAAAAAAAAAACAAAATACTTAGGAATAAACTTAACAAAGAATGTGAAGGACCTATAAACTGAAAAATGCAAAATATTATTAAAAGAAATTGAAGACACGCCCTGGCTGGTGTGGCCCAGTGGACTGAGCACAGGACTGTGAAGCAAAGGGTTGCCAGTTTGATTCCCAGTCAGGGCACATGCCTGGGTTGCGGGCCAGTTCCCAGCAGGGGACGCATAAGAGGCAACCACACACTGATGTTTCTCTCCCACTCTTTCTCCTTCCCTTCCCCTCTCTCTATAAATAAATAAAATGTTAAAAAAAAAAAAGAAATCGAAGACACAAAGAAATGGGAAGATAATCTATGTGCATGGACTAGAAGAATCAACATAGTTAAAATGGCCATGTTACCCAAAGCTATATATAGATTTAGTGCAATCTCCAGCAAAATTCTAATGGGAGATTTTAAAGAAATAGAACCAAAAAATCATTAGATTTGTATAGAATTGTAAAAGACACCCTAGTTTATTAATGTATCTTTTTAAAGTATTCCTGGATCCAATTTGCTAATATTTTGTTAAGGATCTTAGCATCTATGTTTATCACAGATGTTGACCTATAATGTTCCTTCTCTGTAGTGTCTTTATCCAGTTTTGAAATTAAGGTAATGCTAGCCTCATAAAAATAGCATGGAAGTCTTCTACCTTCTTGAATTTTTTGGACTATTTTGAAGGGTATAGGTGTTAGTTCTTCTTTGACTGTTTTGTAGAATTCACCCATGAAGCCATGTGGTCCAGGACTTTTGTTTTCTGGAAGTTTTATTATTATTATTATTTCTATAATTTCATTAGTTGTTACTGGTCTATTCAGGTTTTCTGATTCTTCCTGATTTCTGGTATTTCTATCGTTACTTCTTTTATTTATGATTTTATTTATCGGGGTCCTCATTCTTTCTTTTTTCTTGATGAGTCTGGGTAAAGGTTCATCAATCTTGTTTATCTTTTCAAAGAACCAGCTCTTTAATTGATCTTTTGTATTTTAAGTGTCTATATCATTTATTTCACTCAAATCTTTACTATTTCGTTTCTTCTATTCACTTTGGGCTTTGTTTCTTGTTCTTTTTCTAATTCCTTCGTCTACAAGGTTATATTGTTTATTTAAGATTTTTCTTTTTTCTTGATGTAAGCCTGTAATGCTATGAATTTCTCTTTTAGGGCTGTGTTTGTTTGCTGTGACACATAGATTTGGGGTTATGTTCTCATTTTCATTTGGTTCAAGGTATCTTGGTTTCTTCTTTGATATGATTAACACACTTAGTGTTTAGTAACATGTTGTTTTGCCTCCATGTCCTTGTGTGTTTTTAAGTGATTTTCTTGTGATTGAATTCTAGTTTCATAGCATTATGGTCAGAGAAGAAGCTTGATATAATTTCAGTCATCTTAAATTTATTGAAACTTGCTTTGTGTCTTAATATGTGGTCTGTCCCAGAAATTGTTCCAAGTGCATTTAAGAAGAATGTATATTATGCTGCTTTGGAATGAAATACTGTGGATATAACAATTAAAGTCATCTAATCTATTGTTTAAAGACTCTGTTTCCTTGTTGATTTTCATCTGAAAGATATATTCATTGATGTCAATGGGGTGTTAAAGTCCTCTATGACTGTTTTACTGTTGTTCTCTCTCTTTATGTCCTTCAAGATTTGCTGTATATATTTAAATGCTCCTATGTAGGGTACATTTAATGTTTACAAGGCTTTTATCCTCTTGTTAGAGTGCTCTCTTTATCATTATGTAGTATTCTTCTTTGTCCCTTATTATAGCCTTTGTTTTAAAGTCCATTTTGTCTGATATAAGTATTGTTACCCTAGCTTTTTTTATTTCAATTTGAATGAAATATCTTTTTCCATCCCTTTATTTTATTCTGTGTATATATTTTGTTCTGAAGTGGGTCCCTTATAGACAGCATGTATATGGGTCTTGTTTTCTTATCCATTCTACTACCTGATGTCTTTTGATTGGAACATTTAAGCTATTTACATTTAAAGTGGTTATTGACAGGTAGGTATTTATTGCCATTTTATTGTCTTAACTATTTCCCTTTGGTGGTCCTCTTCCTTCTTCTCTTTTTCCTGCTCCTTCAAGAAGATCCTTTAACATTTCTTATAATACAGGTTTCATGGTAATTGACTCCATTAGTTGTTTGTGGTCTGGGAAGCTCTTTATTTATCCTTCATTATTAAATTATTGCCTTGATGGTTAAGTAGTGTTGCTTTACATCACTTTGAGTATTTCATGCCAACCCTTTTTGGCCTCAAATGTTTCTGTTGAGAAATCAGTTGGAAGTCTTATAAGACTTCTCTTGTAGGTAACTGTCTTTCTCTTAGTGCTTTTAAAATTCTCTTTGTCTTTAGCCTTTGCCATTGTAATTATGATGTGTCTTGGTGTGGGCCATGGGTTCATCTTTTTTATGACTGAACTTCCTGGACTTGTGTGTCTCTTTCTTTCACTAGGTTAGGGAAGTTTTAAGTAATTATTTCTTCAAATAGGTTCTGTATCCCTTGCTCTCTCTCTCTTCTTGTGGTACCCCTGTGATGTGGGTGTTGTTATGCTTCACATTGTCCTAGATATCCCTTAAACTAGCCTCATTTTTTGAATCCTTTTTTCTTTTTGCTGATCTAATTGTATGTTTCTGCTACTTTGTCTCCAAAATCATTGTTTTTATCCCCTGCTTCATCTTACTTCCTGTTTATCCCTTCTAGTATGTTCTTTATTTCAGCTATTGTATTCATTTCTGACTGCTGTTTTTATGGTTTCTATATCCGTTTTCATGCTTTTGAAGTTTTCACTAAGGTCATTGAATATCCTTATAACCATTTTTTAAAACTCTATGTCTGATAAATTGCTTGTTTATATTTCATTTAGCTCTTTTTCTTGAGATTCTCCTTTTCTTTCATTTGGAGCATGTTTGTCTCCCCATTTTGGCTGCCTCTTTGTGTTTCTTTCTATATATTAGGTACACCTGTCCCTCAGTCTTGGTTGGATAGTCTTATGTCATTGGTTTTCTGTGGGACCCTGTGATATAGTCTCCTGATCACCTGATTTGGGTGCTCCAAGAATGTCCCTAGTATGGGTTATGCAAGCCCTCCTGTTTTAATTGAGTCTTGATTTCTATTGGCCTATTTGTACATGGAGTCAACCCTCAAGCTGGCTGACTGTGGGGATCAACCCCAACCACAGCATATGGGCTGCTGTTCAGGTGCTGACCACATGAAGTGAAATTTGTCTCAGAAGTTCTAGTGCCTGTCAAGATCTTTTGGATATTACTCGTAAAGTTAATTGGATCCTGCTCTTTTGTTGTCTAAAGCTGGTAACTGGATATGCTGGTTCTGGGGCCTCTTGGCAGGGAACTCTGGTTCAGCTCAATATCAGACCCTGTCTGTGACTGGCCCTGGGTAACCTGTTCAGTTATTAAAAGGATTCCACCATTTTGCTGCCTGTGCTGGGCCTGTGTGTGCATTGGAAGGACCAAGCTGTGCACCAAAGCCAGCTTCCAGCAGCACTGAGCTCTAAGGCAGGTTAGCAAAAGGCCCAAGACACTCCGAGATACAACTCTGCCTGCCTCTCTCTGCTGGCGGCCTATTTGTTTCAGTCACTGAAGGACCTTCTGGAGGTAATTGAGTTGTATGAGGTAGGTTGTCAGGGAGTCACTAGGTAGGAGTTAGTGGTGTTGACCACACTGATGCAGGTTCAAATTTGATGCCAGTGCTGGATCTGAGGCCACTCAGCAAAATTCCCAGAGTACACCAAGGCTACCCGCCACCCTCCAGGTGCCTGTAGAACTTTGTGGCATGATGAGGTCTTGGTGTCATCAGGGTGAGACCAACAGAGTTAGGACCAATCAAAACCAAGATTTGGCTGAATGCAGGGAGTGTTCTATACCAGTTGATCAGGCATGATATAAAGGGATCCTGTCCTAGAGTAACACAATTCAGTCTCAGATTCTACCAGGACTTTCTTGAGAGCCTGAGCTCAGCATGGCAGGGCCACCAGGGCATTGGAGGATGGGGCTAGTGGATCTTCCATGAGGGATAGGCAGCATCAGGCTTGTGAGAAGGTTGGGGGACTGTACCTCACCCCAGGGTCATACAATTCAGTCTGTCCTGGGTTTTTCCTAGAACTCCTGGAAAGACCACACTTGGCACATAGGTGCCAATTACAGCAATTGGGAGGGTGGGGCCACCTGGAGCCCAGAGTGTGGGGCTAATAAATCATTATGATGGAGAGGTGCTAGTCAGGCTCATGGAAAGGTGGAGAAATGGTCCCTGCTCCAGAGCCCACAACTCAGTTGCTGATACCCACTAAGTTGGCCCAGACCTATACACCCTGGGCCCTGGAACTTGACTCATCCAAAGGGCATGAATTACACAGGGTTGGATGCCAGGAAGTCTGGTGGGTGGTACTATTACATTATCCCAGGGTGATGGCATAAGGAGGGGATAGCTCCACTTAAGAAAGACAGTGTCTACAGTGTGGAACGAGGACTCAGCACAGGGATCCAGGTATCTATCACTTGAGCTCTCTCCCCAGAGCCATAAACCACCTCTGTCTTCACACAGCTCCAGTCCTCTATTCCCTCTCTGACAGAGCTCAGGGTGAGTGACTGCAAACAAGATCCTGCACACTGAGATTTCAAGAGGGCACCTGTGTCTCCACCAGACTTCCCTCTATTCCTGGTGGGCCTAATCTCCATTGACTTTTGCAGCCATATATTATGTAGGCGTCTCCTTCCAGTGGTGGTGCTGTGGGCTGGGTAGCTCCAGGTTGGATAGCTCTCCTTAAGGGGAACCTCTGCAGCTTAGATATCCCTCCAGAATTTCAGCTGCCACCCATGGAAGCAGGACCAGACCTTTTAGCATCTCTGCCCTTCTAGCCCGTCCCAATGTGGCTTCTTCTGTAAATCCTTATTTATAAAACTTCTGTTCAACTAGTCTTCATTTGGTTATTCAGATTGATCTATATTTTAGTTGAAATTCCAGTTTGGTTCTGGGAGGAAGAGGTGAGTGTAATTTGTACTTACTCTGCCACCATCTTGGATAACTTCTGGTTATTTTATATTGGTGTTTTTGGCTTTCTATTGTAGCACTATTGCATTCTTTATATATATTTTGCACATTCATTTTTTATATTTATGGCATAAATAACTTCTCTTATTTTGTTGCTTGTATTTTACTTTGTTTATGACTTCTTTTGTTGAACAAAACAATGTAATGTTTTGAGTGCATAAATCTTATATTTTATAATTTCTACTTTTATGTTCTGTTTACAAAATATCTCTCAAATTTGAGGTAACAAAAATATTTAGATATATTTTATTTTTGTTTATGGTATGTATTTTTTCATATTAAAACCAGTTTTCTAGCACATTTACAAGGTCATTTTTTCCTTTCTAGTCTAAATAGTACTTTTATACCAAGTTATCATATATGTGTCTCTATCCTTTTCTAGCTGCTCTCTTGTTTTCTCTATGACTTTGATTCTCTTTTTTCTTCTTTAAGATGTGTTAATGAATGTACCTAACAGTTAGGGTTGTTGTGTGGTATATGTTCACATACTTTACATTCAATATCTCACTTATTCCTAGAAAACTGAGAATCAGAAAAGTTAAGTGAATTTCCCAAAATTTGCAGAATTTGTAAGCTACATACAGATATGTGATTTGAACTTACTTCTGATTCCAAAGCCTGTGCACTTCCCAACAAGTCATACTACCTATGAGTACCAAGCAAATCACCCAAAATAGCTGGGTTGGTTCACTGAAGGTATGAAGTAAAAAAAAAAATGTTCTTATTTTAACTTAATAACATTTTAACTCCCTTTTCTTGTGGACTTCACAGGAATGCCTAATTCTTCTGGCCTTGTGAGCCGTCGTAATGCCATTTCCAAAACAGATGCCACAGTAGTGGCATTCCTGAAGAAAGCTGGTGCCATTCCTCTTGGCGTAACCAACTGTAGTGAGCTGTGCATGTGGTATGAATCCAGTAACAAGATCTATGGCCGGTCCAATAACCCGTATGATTTACGGCATATTGTAGGTGGAAGCTCTGGTAAGTTTAACATTTCAATTAGTGAGTCACTGTGAGGAGGGTATACAGATACTATTGCAAAAACCTCTGGGAAAGTCATAATTAGGTGTTTATTGTAAAGGCAATTGTAAAATTTGTCATAGATTGGAGAAGAGCATAGTACTACACTTGATTTCAGCCAAAACTCCAAGAAGCAATGGAGAAGAGCACTATAGACAATGGATATTCATCCTCTTGGTCCCTGTGTGTTTGTGTACGTGCAAAGAGAGAGATAATAAGGAAAGGGAGGGAGGGAGAGAGAATGTGAGTTAGTGAAGCTGGTTTAGCTTCAAACCTATATCTTCTTGAAACAAAGGTGATAAAATAATGTAAGGACACTGAGTTCTGATAACTATGCTGTGTACCAGAAACCGCTAATGCAGGGCTATAACAGATATAGTTATGGAAATCTCTTCTAATGAGGTGGTATTTATGATGCCAAAGGATCAGTTGTTGTAGGGGTAGTGGGTCAGGCAGAAAACATTCTAATTAGAAAATACAGAAAATGCAAAAGCCTGAGGTGGGAACATGCTTAGTGTGTTGAGTGAACTGAAAGAAATCCAGCATAGTAAGACAGAAAGGAGTTAGAGAAGAAATTTAAAAGTTTTGTCTAGATCAGATAATGTAGAGGAGCAAAAGCTGAAGCAAATAGAAAAACTACATCTACTTGAGTTGTCTAGGAGAAAAATTACAGGGGTTTTTAACTGAACAGCACCATCAATCACCTGGATATATTTTATTTCTATAGAAATTGTTTTCTACGAACAGCAGAATGCATATTATTCTGAAGCTCACATGAAACATTTACCAAATAAACTACATTCTAGGCTATAAAGCTATAGAGCATAACCTAGAATTTAGTTTATTTGGTAAATGTTTCATGTGAGCTTGAAACATTTCTAGCCGTTTTAGAAGAATAGAAATCACATAAAAGTATGCTCTCAGGCAACAACAAAATTAAACTAGAAATCAATTAGAAAAAGATATTTGGAAAAACTGCAAATATTGGGGATTAAATAATATAATTCTAAAAATAAATTGATTAAATAAGAGATAAATGAAAATGAAAATGCAACTCAATCAAAATTTGTGGGGGAGTGATGCCAGCAAGATGGCAGATTAGTTATTTCCAAGACATCACTTCTTAATAAAAACATTAAAAAATAACTAGAAACTGGCTAATATAATTTTATAGAAGCTCTGGAAAACAGTCAAAGGTCTGTAGCTACAAAGTAAATGCACAGTCAAGAAAAATCCACATTCAGAATAATCAGATATTTCACAGTAATTTTACTTACCCCTGGCCCACTCCCTCACTGGCATTGTGGTCAAGAGGAAGCAACCACTCAATTCCACATTTCCTCTCTATAAATATAGGGGACACAGCAGAACTGATTAGAAATGTTCTAACCTATGTGGAGGCTTCCTGAATAACTACCCTCATTTTTCTCTAACTCTGAGCTCAGGTGGGAAACTGAAGCATAGCTTGGAACTCAGAATGGGAAAAACTACAGGAAAGAGCAGGCACTGCTCATGAAAGCTGTAGGATTACTACAGACCTACCGATCCCTAAGCCAAGAGATAATGGGTACAGATATATAATACAACATCTAAAAATTCAAGAATAAGCTAGCATGAGACCATTTGGGAAATTATAGTATTTGAAGGGACTTATATATTTAGGGAAATTGGTAAAGAGATCACATTTACATATGTACAGAGGCAAGACTCATTCTCAGAAAAGACCTGATATATACCTTCACCCTAGGATGATACAAGGCTCAGAACACGTCTTGCTTATTAAAGAAGGATTTCCTCAGAATGGAGACAGCCTACAAAAACTAGAAGTGGATGCTTTCTCAAATGCCTAAATTTAAACAAAAATCATGAGGAATACAAAGTAACAGGAAAGCATGGACTCATTCAAAGGAACAAAATGAGATGATATAAGCTGTCAGTGAAGAAACACAGGCATTAGAATTACTATACAAAACTTTAAAGGAGCTATCAAGTATGTTATAATGCTAAAGCAAAACAGAAAAGAACTAAATGAAACCAGGAAAATAATATATGAGCAAAATAATAAAAAAAGAGAGAAATTCTTAAAAAGAAACAAAAGTAATTCTGGCCCTGGCTGGTGTGGCTCAGTGGATTGAGCACTGGCCTGCAAACTGAAAGTTCGCTGGTTCAGGTCCCAGTTTGGAATGCAAACATGCCTGGATTGCTGGCCAGGTCCCTGGTTGGGGTCAATATGTCTCTTGCACACTGATGTTTCTCACCTTCAGTTTTTCCATCCCTTCCCATCTCTCTAAAAATAAATAAATAAAACCTTTTTAAAAAGTAATTCTGGAGCTGAAAAATATACTTAATCTAAAAAATTATCAGAGGGGTTCAACAGCATCTTGAAAAGTCAGATGACAGAATCAGTGAATTTGAAGACTTGTTATTTGAAATTATCTAGTCTGAGGAGCAAAAAGAAAAGAATAAAGGAAAGTGAACAGAGCCTAAGAACAGTATGGGATACCAGTAAAAAGATCAACTTATGAATTATGGGGTTCCTTAAAAGGGAAATTTTATTTGAAGAAATATTGGCCTCAAACATCCAACATTTGAGGAAAGACACAAATCTACAAACTCAAAATAAAACTGCTATAAAAGAAAAAAATGACAGTGGAGGGCGCCGCCATTTCCCTGCTCTGACCCCACCTCCACATACAGCGTCATAACCCAGCGACTCTGAGCGGCCCGGCCCAGGTGAACCACCTAAGGCACTGCTCCTCCGCACCCAGCTGTGAGAAGCGGCAGAGGAGGTCGCCATTTCCCCGCTTGGGCCACGCCCCCACATACAGCGTCACAACCCAGCGACCTGGGAATCCAAGGCACCACTTCTTAAAGGGCCCGAACAGACCAAGAATGGCGCAGGAGGATCTCAGAGCCCCAGAAATAAACCTAGCGATGAAGAAATAGCAAATCTCACAGACGCACAGTTTAAAACATTGGTTATCAAGATCCTCACAGAACTGGTTGATTAGACGGACAAATTAGACAAATATATGAAGGCGAAACTAATTGAAATGAATGGAATTGCACAGGACACCAATAGCAATGAAAAGGAAACTGGGACTCAAATCAATGGAGTGGACCAGAAGAAAGCAAATAATGGCCAAACAGAAAAGAGTCAAGAAGCAAGAATTCAAAGAAATGAGGAGAGTCTTAGGAACTTCCAGGACATCTTTAAATGCTCCAACATCCGAATTATAGGGGGTACCAGAAGGGGGAAAGGCACAGCCACCAGTGGAAAACTTATTTGAACAAATAATAAAGGAGAATTTCCCCCAATCTGGAAAAGGAAATAGACTTCCAGGAAATCCAGGGAAGCTCAGAGAGTACCAAAGAAGTTGGACCCAAGAAGGAACACACCAAGGCACATCGTAATTACATTAGCCAAGATAAAAATGAAGGAGAGAATCCTAGAAGCAGCAAGAGCTAAGGGGACAGTCACCTACAAAGGAGTCCCCATCAGACTGTCAGCGGATTTCTCAAAAGAGACCTTACAGGCAAGAAGGGGCTGGAAAGAGGTATTCCAAGTCATGAAATCTAAAGACCTACAACCAAGATTGCTCTATCCAGCAAAACTTTCATTTAAAATGGAAGGACAGATAAGGTGCTTCTCAGATAAGATCAAATTCAAGGAGTTCATCATTACCAAGCCCTTATTATATGAAATGTTAAAGGGACTTATCTAAGAAAAAAGAAGTTAAAGAAACATGAACAGTGAAAGGACAACAAACTCACAGTTATTAACAACCACACCTAAAACGAAAGCAAACTAAAAGGACAGCTAGATCAGGAGTGGAAACATAGAAATGAAGATCTCAAGGAGGGTTAGCAACAGGGGAGTGGGAGGAGGAGAAGGGGGGAGAAGGTACAGAAAATAAGTAGCATAGACAGTAGATAGAAAATAGATGGGGGGCAAGAATAGCATGGGAAATATAGAATCTAAAGGACTTGAGACACATGGTCATAAACTAAAGGGGGGGTGATGGTGGGGATGGGGGTAGGGTGGAGGGGAATAAAGGGGGAATAGAACAACTGTAACAGCATAATCAATAAAAAAATTAAAAAAAAGAATTAAATAAAACAAAGGAAAACAGTAAAAAAAAAAAATGAGGTCCAAATAGGATATGTCTATGTAGAATCACACAGAGTCACAGAATTGAAACCTTGAAAGACAAAGACGATGAGAAAATCTTAAAGTGGCATTAGATTTCTCAGCAGAAACCTTGGAGGCAAGACGACTGTGGGATGATACATTAAAACTGTTGAATGAAAATAATTGTCAACTATTTTATATCCAAAAAAGAGAGAAACTGTGCTTTAGAAATGAGGGAGACATTAAGAGATGAGAAGACAAACAAAAAGTGAGAGGCAGTTCTTTCTGTCACCAGATATGCTCTAAAAGAAATGAGAGTCCTTCAGGTTATAATGAAAGGAAACTAGAGAGTAACTCAAAAGTGTATGAATATAAACATCTCTAGTAAAGGTAAATACATGAGCAAATATAATGACTAATATTAGTGTAATTTTGGTTTGAAAATCAACTTTTTATTTTATACAGTATTTAAAAGACACATGCATAAAATAATTCTAAATCAATGTTAGTAGGTAAACAATAGAGATGGAATCAGTTACATAAAGTGGAAAAGAGGGAGCTACATGAAAGTGTAGTTTTATTTTTTTAATTTTATTTATTTTTTACAATACAATTTTATAATGTAATTTTTCAACTCTTCTTTTTTAATTGTTGTTCAAATATAGTTGTCTCCATTTTCCTCATTACTCTCCCCACCCCACCCATCCCCACCTCCCACCCTCAATCCTAGCCCCCTTTGGCTTTGTCCATGTGCCCTTTATGCATATTTCTTGCTGACCCTTCCCCTTCTTTTCCCCATTATCCCCTCCCCTCTGGTTACTGTCAGTTTGTTCTTAATCAATGTCTTTGGTTATATATAATTTTAGTGTGCAACTGAAGTTAAATTGGCTTATATTTATATCAGATTTTTATAAATTTATGATGTTTTATATTCTTTTATAAGATGATCTAGATAGGTAAATGATATAACATGTAGTATTTGCGATTCCATGGTACCTATAAAGAAAATATCTGTAGAATATACAAAAAAGGGACTGGGAAGAGAAACATACAGTGTCACTAAAAAAGTGAACTTCACACAAAGCAAGGCAGTAATAAAAGCAACAAAGGACCAAAACTAAGACCTTCTAAATCAAAAGGTATAGATTGGCATAATGGATTAAAATCATGTTCCAAATAAATGCTATCTACTAAGACTTGCTTTCAATGTAAAGACTCAGAAAGTTTAAAAATGAAAGATGATAAAATATATTCCATGCTAATAGTAATTTAATTGATTTATTTTAAAGGAATATTTTGCACTTCCCATAGGTGGTGAGGGCTGTACCCTGGCAGCTGCCTGCTCAGTCATTGGTGTGGGCTCTGATATCGGTGGCAGCATTCGAATGCCTGCATTCTTCAATGGCATATTTGGGCACAAACCTTCACCAGGTAATATTAATATGGTGATAAGTGTGGTTACACTTTTATGATTTATAGCAATATAGAAATTTGGTCCTTACCAGGATAATCATGCTTAAACTTGATTACATATATTTATCCATATCCCTAACTAAAAATACCTATTTATTGACTACCAGCTCTGTATCAGGCACTCTAAAAGTTGTCTCCCATAACTAATTTTACTTTATTTCCAAAGTAACCCTTTCAGGAAGAATGGCAGATTAAAAAAATCAAAACTCAGGAAGATTAAGTAAAACTGCACATAAGGAATACATGTGTCTTTTCAAATTATTGGGTTTTTTTTTTCTTCTGATAGATACCCAGTAGTGAAATTGCTGGCTTCTATGTAAGTTCCATTTTTAGTTTTCTGAGGAACCATTGTGCTGTTTTCCATAGTGGTTGCACCAGTTTGCAATCCAGCCAGGAGTATATGGTGTTCCCTTTCCTCCATCTCCTTGCTAGTTCATGTTGCTTTATTTTTGATAATAGCTGATCTCACAAGTATGAGGTAATATTTCAGTGTAGTTTTGATTCACATTTCCCTGATAATTAGTGATGTTGAGCATGTTTGTATGTATCTGATGGCCATCTTTATATCTTCTTTGGAAGAATGTGTATTCAGATCCTCTGTTCATTTTTTAATTGAATTGGTTGTTGTTTTGATGTTAAATTTTATGAGTTATTTTAAAATGTTCTGCCAAGTGGGTTCACTTTTTGTTCTGTTGATGTTTTCCTTCACAGTGCAAAAGCTTCTTAGTTTTATGGAATCCTATATAATCTTTGCTTTTGTTGTTCTTGCCTGAGGAGACATATCTAAGAAAATATTACATAGGCCAGTGTCAAAGAATTTACTGCCTATGTTTTCTTGAAATTTTATGGTTTATGGTCTCATATTAATACATTTTTTTAAATTTTATTTATTTATCTTTAGAGGGGAAGGGGGGAAGGAGAGAGGGAGAGAAACATCAATGTATGGTTGCCTTCGTGCATCCCCTGCTGGGAACTGGCCTGTAGGGAACCAGCCTGCAACCCAGGCATGTGCCCTGACTGGGAATCGAACCGCGATTATCTGGCTCGCAGGCCGGCGCTCAATCCACTGAGCTACACCAGCCAGGTCTCATATTAATGCATTTTAAATTTATTTTTGTGCATACTATAAGAAAATGTTCTAGTTTCTTTTTTTTGCAAGTAGCTGTCCCATTTTCTCAACATATATTGAGGAAATTCTCATTTTCCCATTGTATATTTTTGCCTCTTTTGTCATAGATTAATTGAGCATATAAGCCTGGATTTATTTCTGTCATCTATATACTGTTTCAGTGATCTATGTGTCTGTTTTGTGCCAATACCACATTGTTTGTTTGTAATAGTTTTGTAGTATAATTTGAAGTGAGGAAACATAAGCTATTGTAACAATCATAACTTGCATATCTTTTTCTATACAAACAACTATAAACCTAGTTTGCCTACCCTTGCACAAAAACACAACCATCCCTGGCTGGTGTGGCTCAGTGGGTTCAGCGCTTGTCTGCAAACCAAAGGGTCTCTGGTTCAATTCCCAATTAGGGCACATGCCTGGGTTGCAGGCCAGGTCCCCAGTAAGGGGCGTGTGAGAGGCAACCACACATTGATGTTTCACTTCCTTTCTTTCTTTCTCCCTTTTCCTCTCTCCAAAAATAAATAAATAAAATCTTTAAAAAAACAACCAATTTTTGTATATTAATTTTGTGTTCTGCAATGTTACTAAATTTACTTAGTAGTTCTAATAGTTTTTGGTTATATCTTGTTCTTGATTTGAGAACAAAATCTTTCAGCATTTAACCATTGAGTATGAAGTTAACTGTGTTTTGTCTTATGTGGCCTTCATTGTGTAGAGGTATGTTCCTCTTATGCACACAGAGTTGTGAGCTTTTATCATAAATGGATGTTAAATTATTTTCCCACATCTACTGAGATCATTATATCATTTTAGTCTTTATTTTGTTGATGTGGTGTAACATGGTGAATGATTTGTGAATATTGAACCATTCTTGCATCCCTGGATTAAATCCCACTTGATTGCAGTGTATGATCCACTTATTGTATTGTTGAATTTAGTTTTCTAATATCTTGTTGAGAATTTTTGCATCTATAATAACCAGAGATTTTTTTCTTTAGTTTTCTTTTGTCCTAATCTGGTTTTGGAATTATGATAATGCTGACTTCATAGAATGAGTTTGAATGTGTTTCCTCCTCTTTAATTTTTTGGATGAGTTTGGAAAATATTGCCAGTGACTTTTTTAAGTACCTGATAAAACTCACCAGTAAATGAGCGGAAAGCTGGTAGTACAAATTGAGTTGGAAGATGGTAGCAAGGTAGGTGGGACCTTAAATCCACTTGTTCCTGTGACCAACTAGGACACCTAGCAAATTTTCTGAAGAACAGAGTGAACAGCAAATGGAATCCCAACTTATATGAATTTTGGAAGTCAAAGACTGCAAAAGACATTAAAAAATGGACAGTGAGGACATGTTGTAGGTGGTTGCTGGGCCCTGCGTGTGAAACTGCAGTAGCTGAAATTCCGGTCCATGCTGCCATAGGAGGTTTGGAGGAGAGCCAGGTCAGGGATCCTAACTATGCAGCTCCCTTCCCTCCCAGAACAGGGAAACTGGTCCTGCCTTAGAGAGTCCTGGATGGTTGAAGTTGCTGGGGGAATAAAGATGCAGTGGGAGACACACAGCAGGGGGTGTTCCCCAGCTTGTTCTGAGGTCGCTGGCTCCACAGTACCAGAGAAATCAGGGAGCAGGGAGCTACCTGGAGATGGGAGAAGAGTTAGGCCATTACTGACCTTGACCCAGAGAATCTGGGACTGGTCAGAGAGCTCGGCTTTGTGAAAAGCCAAGTGGTTGTTAAGAATGGCAGCCAGCAACAGGGAAATTCACTAAAAAAAAAAAGCCGGTGTGCAGCCACTCTGCAAGGACCTCTCCTACACAGTAGCTGCAGTAGCTGGGCCAGTGAAGAGGGAGGAGGAGGGACACTGTAAGGACTGATCAGAGGAGGGCAGCAAGAGCTCAGAGAGTTAGCAGTCCCCAGAGAGACTTAATTTAATAGGGGAACTAAACTGCCCAGAAGGGACTTTGAGAGTACACAGTACCCAGGGAGGAGGAAGGGTACGACTTGCTTCTAATCAGTGCGCCTCAGTGCACCTCACAGATGGCACAACTTGGTGGATGAAAGGCGCTGGCCTAGCTCAGATGGACAGTGAGGGCAGCGCAGTGCTCTGAGGACTTGGGCTGGAGTCTAGGCACCTGTGAATATTGCAGCCCAGACCTAGCCCCCATCCTTGCAAACCACAGGAAAGGAAAAAAGCAAAGCCCAGCCTCTCTCTGCTTATGACATCCAGGAAGACCAGCAGAACTTGCTTGTCATGTTTAAAGTGAGCAGGAGGCTTTTTTTGTTCCCCCAAGTGTGAGACAGTAAGACCTGGAGCTGTGAAAGGACCAATCCAGAGAGAAATCAGAAGGCTAACTCCAACAACTGAGAAACTGAGACAAATTTCACTTTGCTATCCTACAAAATTTGTATTTTATTTTAACTTTTATTATTTTTATTTATTATTTATTTTTTCTTTTTTAATTTTAAAACAAAAAGTTTACTTGACTTGTGCATGCATTTTACTACAATATTCATGATATAATTGCATTTAAACCAAACCTACAGATTAAGAGACATTCTGTCTTTTCAGACAACTTTATTTTTTTAAGTTTTGAAGCAAATATTTTAATTACTTTATTGTTGCTCAATTATTGTTGTCTACATTTTCTCCCCACCCTTTCCCCCACCCCCTCCAAATCTACCTCCCTCCTTTGCTTCCACCCTCCCCCTTGGTTTTGTCCATGTGTCCTTTATAGTAGTTCCTAAAAACCCTTCTCCCTACTATCCCCTCCCCACTCCCCTCTGGTTATTATAAGATTGTTCTTAATTTCAATGACTCTGGTTATATTTTGTTTGCTTTTTTCTTTTATTGATAATGTTCCAGTTAAAATTGAGATCATATGGTATTTGTCCCTCACTGCCTGCCTTATTTTACTTAGCATGATGCTCTTCAGTTCCATCCATGCTATCACAAAAGGCAGGAGCTCCTTCTTTCTCCCTGATGTGTAGTATTCCATTGTGTAAATGTACCACAGTATTTTGATCCTCTCATTTACTGTTGGCCACTTAGGTTGCTTCCAGCACTGGGCTATTGTAAATTGTGCTGCTATGAACACTGAGGTGCCTAGGTTCTTCTGAATTGGTGATTTAGGATTCTTAGGGTATATTTTTAGCAGTGGGATCAGGATCAAAAGGCAGATGTGACTTAGGTTTTTTGAGCAAAACCTAAGTCCATACTGTTCTATACTGTATGGAACCAAAACCATTCCATACTCTTTTCCACAGTGGCTGCACCAGTCTGCATTCCCAGCAACAGTGCACTAAGGTTCTCTTTTCTCCACATCTTCAACAGCACATATTGTTTGTTTACTTATTAATGATAGCCATTCTGAAAGGTGTGAGGTATCTTACTGAGGTATCTTATTTTAATTAGCATCTATCTAATGGCTGACGATGAGGAGGATATTTTCACATGTCTATGGGCCTTCTGTATGTCCTTTTTGGAGAAGTGTCTATTCAGATCCTCGGCCAATTTTTTTATTGGATTGTCTGTCTTCCTGGTGTGGAGTCATATAAGTTCTTTAGATATTTTGGAGAAAAAACCCTTGTCCTATATATCATTGACAAATATGTTTTCCCATATAGTCAGTTCCCTTTTCATTTTGATAATGGTTTCTTTAGATGTACAGAAGCTTTTTAATTTAATGTAGTCCCATATGTTTATTATTTCCTTTATTTCTCTTGCTCTAGGAGATATATTGGCAAAAATATTGCTACACAAGATGTCTGAAATGATACTGCCTAAGTTTTCTTCTAGGATTTTATGGTATTGTAACTTAAATTTAAGTCTTTTATGCATTTAGGTTTATTCTGGTGTAGAATAAGATGATCTAGTTTCATATTTTTTTATGTACCACTCCAGTTTTTCCAACACCATTTATTGAATAGGCTGTCTTTGTTATTTGCTCCTCCCTTCTTTGTCAAATATTAATTGACTGTAAAGATGTGGGTTTATTTCTGGGCTTCCTGTTCTGTTCCATTGATCTATGTGTCGTTTTTATGCCAGTACCAGATTCTTTTAAATACAGTGGCCTTGAAGTATGTTGTGATATCAGGTATTGTGATCCCTCCAACTTTGTTCTTTTTTCTCAAGATTGCTGAGGCTATTTGGGGTCTTTTTTGGTTTCATATCAGTTTGTGGAATATTTGTTCTAGATCTGTGAAATGTGCCCTTGGCATTTTAATGGGAATCATGTTGAATCTACAGATTGATTTGGGGAGTATGGACATTTTCATGATGTTAATTTTTCCAATCCATGAACACACCATATGCTTCCACTTATTTGTATCTTTCTCAATTTCTTTCTTCAGTGTCCTATAGGTTTCTGAGTACGGATCTTTTACTGCCTTGGTTAAATTTATTCCTAGATACTTCACTTTTTTGTTACTAGAGTAAATGGTATTGTTTTCTTAATTTCTCTTTTTGATGGTTCACTATTGGTGTATAAAAATCCCTTTGATTTCTGAATATTGACTTTCTATCCTGCTGTTTTGCCAAATTCACTTATTAGGTCAAGTAGTTTTTTGGTGGAGTCTATAGGGTTTTCTATGTATACTATCATGTCATCTGCAAACAATGACAGTTTTACTTCCTCCTTTCCAATTTGGAGGCCTTTTATTTGCTTTTCTTGTCTGTTCAGTGACTAGAACTGCCAGTACTATATTGAATAAAAGTGGTGAAAGTGGACACCCTTGTCTTGTTCCTTATCTTAGGGGTAAAGCTTTTATTTTTATTTTATTTTATTTTTTATTAAATTATTTTTCATGGGGTAAAGCTTTTAGTTTTTGCCCATTGAGTATGATGTTGGTTGTAGGTTTCTTGTAGGTTTCTATATTATGTTGAGGTATGATCCCTCTATTCCCACTTTGCTGAGTGTTTTTATCATAAATGGATGATGTAGCTCATCAAATGCTTTTTCAGCATCTATTGATATGATCATGTAATTTTTGTCTTTCATTTGTTTATGTGGTGTATTACATTTATTGATTTGCAAATATTATATTACCCTTGCATCTCTGGGATGAAACCTACTAGATTATGGTGTATACTCTTTTTATTATATTGCTGGGTCCAGTTTGCCAATATTTTGTTGAGGATTTTAGCATCTATATTCATCAGCAATATTGGCCTGCAGTTTTCTCTCTGTTGTGTCTTTACCTGGTTTTGGAATTGGGATAATACTGGGCTCATAAAAAGAGTTTGGGAGTTTTCCCTCGGTACTCCCAGACACTTGTGGTTAGACTTCCTGCTGAATTCTTGAAGCAGACAATAGGAACTGTATTCCTTTAATTCTCTTTGCTATTCTTATCTGATTCTTTCCCTTTCTCCTCCATCTCCCCTATCATGGAGGTCTCTCCTCAGAAATATGGGTGCTGCTGGACAGCCACATCCTCACATTTGGGGTAACAAGGCATTCACTCACCATTTCCCATCTTCTTTGTGGGAGAGGTCACAGCACTCCAGTTCATCTACTGGAGTGATTACTTCTGTTGCAGTAAGAAGTGCAACCTCTTGCAGCAGTGCCCTGGGGAGCAGGACTGCCTAATGAGTTTTTCCCTTTTCTATACGTCCAACCTTGTCTCTATACTGTACCAGTTGCACACTGGACTCTCCCCTCAACCAGGCTGGACTTTTACAAATTCTCTGTTGTCCAGGGGCATATGCCCAGGTTACACTCTCCAGGTTTTACCCCCATCACATTGAGTTGGAATGGGGATCCGCATTGACTCTCTTGGATCCACAGCCCTTGCCAAGTTCTTTTTTGTCTATATGTGCGTGCATTGGTAGGCTAGAAACCTTTCATGTACCTTGGTGTAATGTGCAGAGGCAGTTTTGTTCAGTTAAGCAATATTTAATTAGTTGTATTAAAAATTGAGAGAAAATGAAAACAGCTTATTGCCACCATGATGCTCTTGTCCTGTTTGATATTTCTTAATCTTTTCTGGTTTTAACAACCACCCTTTGGACACCAAAAATTCATGTCAGCACAGGGATAAGGAACAAAAAACAAGGAAAAAGTGCATGCAGTAATGCATTTGCATCTTTAACAGTTCAATCTGCATTTATAAATTTAATATATTTGTGATCCTTTCCATTATTTTTCATTTTTTATTTTTCAATTAGAGTTTACATTCAATATTATTCTGTATTAGTTTCAGGTATACAGCATAGTGGTAAGACAATCATATACTTTCTAAGGTAGTCTACCCAATATTTCAAGTATCCACCTGGACCAATACATAGTTATTACGATATTATTGACTATATTCCCTGTGCTGTAATTGCATAGTTTTTACTATTCTGTAACTACCAGTTTGTTCTTCTTAATACCTTCACCATTTACACCCAGCTCTCCAATCACCTTCCCCTCTGGTAACCATCAGTCATTTTTTGTTACTAATTTTAAAATATCCATACATACAACAGATTCATTTGTCTATCTCTTACTTTGGATTAGGCTTTTACTCGTGTGTTTTAAGAACCTTATACAGACAGAAGTTAGAAATTTTGAAAACCTATATCCACCAATATGAGCTTAACAGCCTTGCAATAAGTAAGGACTTTTGTTAGAGATCAGTGGTGATGTGAATAAATTTTTTATACTGTAAAATGAATATAATATGTAATATATATTTTTGTGAACATTAGAATGCTTTTCTAATGATTGGTGTTACAAAATTATGAATTGGAACATGATTGATTTGGAGTAAGAGATAGGCTGATGGATTTTAGTGTAACAGAATAGGAAATTCATTGATAAAATTTCAGGTTTCTTATTATAAATATACTATCAGAAACAGGACTTGTCCTGATTTGGTGTAATATGAACAGAGATAATGAAAAATTATCTGTTAAGATTTTAAATACTTTTGCCTTTTCAAATAAATGTTTGTATGAGATTGATTTTTTACATATATTTCAAACAAAATTACACATGGAAAAATGTAGAATACAGAAGCATATATCTGAGTCCAGGTATCTTCTTTTAAACCAAGCATGTAATAGATTTGCAAAAAAGTAAAAGAATGCCCTTTTCACTAAATATATTTTTGTGTCAGAAAATATAGTTGGTTTTTATAAAATGGTTTTGTGCTAATGTTAATGGGTTTACCGTTACTTTTAAACAAATTAACACATAAATATTTTAATATCTTTTTAGTTTTAATTTCCAATATGTTAAATATTGATATGTTTAACATTGTGTAAACAGAAATTCTTTGGGGTCTTCTATAATTCTTAAAAGTATAAAAGGATCCTCAAGCCAGAAGTTTTAGAATCACTGGTTTAGTGATTGATAACAGTCTGGGAAGCTAGACTTCAGGTAGTCTATCACTTAGTAACTATGTAATCTTAGGCAAGATACTTAATGTCTGCCTCAGGTGCCACATCTGTAAAATGGGTATAGCCAAAATACCTATTTCATAAGGTTGTTATGAGAGTTAAATGAGTTAATGTTGTAAAGCTCCTAGAAGAGTATTTGCCACATAGTTAACTTATACATTTTTATATTAAAGAAGGGGGCATATATGAAAACAACCATCATACTTATTTGTGAAAGCTAAAAACTTTCCTTCAAAGATCAGGAAAAAAAGAAAAATATGTCTATTCTTGCAGCTTCTATTGAATATGAGTGTACTGGAAGTTCTACCCTTCAGTTTTATGATAGATTAAACATGATGGTGAAATACAACATTCAGGCCTCATGTCTTTTTAAATTAGATTTATTGAGATGACATTGATTTTTAAGTTTATATAGGTTTCAAGTGTACATTTCTATAATACATCATATCTATATTGCATTATATGCCCACCACCTAAAGTTAAATTGTCTTCTTTCACCATATATTTAGCACCCTTTACCCCTTTATCTTTAACTACTTACCCCTTCACCCATCATTGCTCTGGTAACCATCATATCGTTGCTGTGTCTGAGTTTCAGTTTTGTGACAACATGGATAGATCTTGAGAATATCATGCTAAGCAAAATAAGTCAGACAGAAAAAGCTAAGAACTATATGATTTCACTCATATGAGGGATCATGTCTTATTTTGGACACCTAACCCAAGTGTCTAACCTTTCAGGTGTGGTCTCCAACAAGGGTCAGTTTCCTGTGGCCAGGGGAGCCCAGGAGCTATTTCAGTGCACTGGCCCGATGTGCCGCTATGCTGAAGACCTGGCCCCCATGCTGAGGGTCATGGCAGGACCTGGAATCAAAAAGTATGTTTGCTTCTTTTCATTATTTCCTCTCCTTCCTGTCCAGACATTAATTCTTCCTTTTTTGTAATTAGAGACACACAGGTAAACTTCCGGTCCTCAAACAATTAGAGGGACATTTTGTTTGTTTTTGTTTTGTTTTGTTTTTATGAGAGAGATCTGTATATGTGGATATCGTGCTTCCCAAACTGGGAAAATAGTTTGTAAAAATACATTACTGTGGAAAAATATGACACAAAGAGAAGCCTATTTTGGCAATGAAATCAGGGGATTATTGTTGTTGTTCACTTGGCAATTTGAATATATAGACTTACTTCATTTTAAGTAAGCTTTTCTGGCTGTCATCTATCACCACACATGTTTTCCAAACTTACTGGGACATTGATAAAGCCTAGAAATATCCATATTTCCCTTTATAGCTATTTATCACATTTTCCACAGCAGCAACTTCAAAGTGTTTTATTTTCAAAGAAACTATGAGTTCCTAATCTAGCTTTTGCATTCAGTAATGATCCCACATTCTACCTCACCAAGAAAATGCAATCTATGGAACTTTCTTCAGTCCCTTATATCTAACTTTCTAGTTCCCCAGACATTAATTTCTCATTTATCCTTTTAGATTGGAGAATATGTCTTTCTTTTTACTTTGATATAAACATACTTTGACCTATGCTCCAGATCTTTTGTTCTGGTACTCTCTCAGGTCTTTATTCCATTATTTGTCTCACCTTCTATGATTTCAACCTTATATATCTATAATATACATAATATATGTGTATATATGTGTATATATGCTACACATACATATATATGGTCTGTCCAGACATATCCAGCTGTATAATATGAAAAATAGAGGTATTTATTAAAGAAGATACAAGAAACATTTTACATAGGACAATGATGCCTCAGTCCCCTTCAAGGTAGGCAACTTGGGACCTTACACAGTTCTCCAAATTGTCATCAGCTGCCCCATTGTATTTTCCTGAATCTTATCAACAGTCTAAAATCTTTCCTTTCCAAGGTGATTTTAGTTTTGGGAAAAGACAGAAGTCACAGTGTGCCAAATCTGGGCTGTAGTGGGGCTGAGTCACCTAGGTGATTTGATGTTTTGCCAAAAATCTCTATGCAAGACGTGATGCATGAATGGACGTATTGCTGTGATGAAGCTGCCAATCATTAGCTGCCCATAGCTGTGGCCTTCTGAATCATCTAAATAGCTTCCATGGATGAATGCTCAAGCTTAATGCAAAATTTGATGCAGATTTGTTGCTCTACTCCAGGGTTGTCAAACTCTTTTTCACCGGGGGCCACATCAGCCTTGTGGTTGCCTTCAAAGGGCCAAATGTAATTTTAGAACTGTAAAGATGTAACTACTGCTTAACTAAGGGCAAGGAGCTCCATACTGCCACTGGGTAGGGAGAAAGTGCTGGGCCAGATAAAACAAGGTAGAAGGCCGGGTTCAGCCTGCAGACCTTGTGTTTGCAACCTGTGCTCTACTCCCTCAGTCATTTTGAATGTGACAGCCACACAGTACACATGCTCAGTCAAAACTATCTACCCCTCCCACTGACTAGTACAGTGAAGTCATCATTGTTCATACATATGCATTCCAATCTATTCTCCTTGGCTGCCAGGTTACATCAATGTCACGCAAACCATTCTTTTTTTTTTCCTTTTTTAAAAATATAGTTTATTGATTATGCCACTACAGTTGTCCCATTCCCCCCTTCATTCCCCTCCACCCTGCATACCCACTCCCCCCACATCCCCTCCATTTAGTTCATGTCCATATGTCACAAGTTCTTTAGCTTCTACATTTCCCATACTATTATTGCCCTCCCCCTATTTTCTACCTACTGTCTATGCTACTTATTCCCTGTACCTTCTCCCCACTTCTCCTCCTCCCACTCCCCTGTTGCTAACCCTCCATGTGACCTCCATTTCTGTGGCTTTGCTCCTGATCTAGCTGTCCTCTTAGTTTGCTTTTGTTTTAGGTGTGGTTGTTAATAACTGTGAGTTTGCTGTTCATTCACTGTTCATCTTTTTTATCTTCTTTTTCTTAGGTAAGTCCCTTTAACATTTCATATAATAAGGGCTTGGTGAGGATGAACTCCTTGAACTTGATCTTATCTGAGAAGCACTTTATCTGTCCTTCCATTCTAAATGAAAGCTTTGCTGGATAGAGCAATCTTGGATGTAGGTCCTTGCCTTTCATGACTTGGAATACTTCTTTCTAGCCCCTTCTTGCCTGTAAGATCTCTTTGGAGAAATCAGCCAACAGTCTGATGGGAACTCCTTTGTAGGTGACTGTCCCCTTATCTCTTGCTGCTTCTAGAATTCTTTCCTTCATTTTAATCTTGGCTAATGTAATTATGATGTGCCTTGGTGTGTTCCTTCTTGGGTCTGACTTCTTTGGGACTCTCTGAGCTTCCTGGACTTCCTGAAAGTCTATGTCCCTTGCCTGATTGGGGAAGTTCTCCTTTATTATTTGTTCAAATAACTTTGCCACTTGTTGTTCTTCCTCTTTTCCTTCTGGTACCCCTATAATTCAGATGTTGGAACGTTTAAAGATGTCCTGGAGGTTCCTAAGCCTCTCCTCATTTTTTTGAATTCTGGTTTCTTCATTCTTTTCTGTTTGGTTGTTTCTTTCTTCCTTCTGGTCCACTCTATTGATTTGAGTCCCAGTTTCCTTTCCATCACTATTGGATCCCTGTGTATTTTGTTTCATTTCACTTAGTGTAGCCTTCATTCGTTCATCTAATTTGTGGCTAAAATCAACCAATTCTGTGAGCATCCTGATCACCAGTGTTTTGAACTGTGCATCTGACAGGTTGGCTATCTCTTTGTCACTTAGAAGTATTGGCTTTGGAGCTTTGAGCTGTTCTTCTGCTTGAGCCATAATGTTTTGGTCAGGTTGCACCTGTTGTGTATGAGGGGCAGAGCCTAGGTGGGGCAAGGGTGGGGCAACCCAAGTCACTGAGTTGTAATGCTGTAAGTGGGGGCAGGGTCAGAGAGGGAGCAATGGTGTTTGTTCTGCTCTCTCTGGGATTTTGCTCCCCTCTGCCACTTCCCACAAGCAAATTGGGCCCTTCTGTGCTAGTTCCCAGGCGAGTGGGCTTGCATATGTTCTAGGACCCTGTGGGTCTGCCCATCAAACTCTCCTGTGAGCCTGGGAGCCACTTCCAGCACCTCAACCCCCGACAGTTTTTCCAGTTGGTCCTTTTAGGCTTTATTTACCATCTCTGGGGCTCTAGGTTGCAAGGTCTGTCTCACTGCCCATTTTTTTGCCTGGTTTATCTGTATGTGAATGTATGTCCGCGGTCAGCCAGCTGCCTTACAAGCCTTACTGGGTTTTTGTCCCACAACCACCCAGTCTGCTAAACACTGCCTTTTCCTGCTGGTGCTTCTCTTCACTGGCCACCAACTCCGCCCCTCTTACCAGTCTGGATGAATGGTTCGTTGTTGTTGGACTTCGGTACAGTTCAATTTTCTGTTTGTTTTGGTTGTGTTTTTGTTTCTAAATCTTTGTTGTCCTTTTGTTTCTAAATCTTTGTGCGAGGACGTACAGTGTTTCCACCTATGCCTCCATCTTGGCTGGAAGTCCCCCAAACAATTCTCAAACAATTCTCATTATACTAACAGTGGCTGGACTTTTTACAGATAGAATGAATATATATATATCCATCCTTTATTTGTTATCATTAAACATGCCTATAAAGTACATACTGATTTACACCTTTCCACAACTAAAAATTTTTTAAAGATTTTATTAATTTTTTTTAGACAGGGAAAGGGAGGGAGAGAGTTAGAGAAACTAACTCTCAGTGTGTGGTTGCCTCCTACATGGCCCCCACTGGGGACCTGGCCTGCAACCCAGGCATGTGCCCTGACTGGGAATCGAACTGGCAACCCTTTGGTTCGCAGCCTGCACTCAATCCACTGAGCTACACCAGCCAGGGCTTAAATTTTTTTTGTCAAGTTGTCTAATCTTGGAACTGATGGCCATATTGCCCCTTTCTTCCTTCTTGAAACAATCTCTACCTTTGGGTTTTGTGATTCATATTTTTCTAATGTAGCTCCCATATCTATATATCTATGCCTTTCCATTTTTTATCTACCTTGGTGGTTCATCCTTAAATATTGGTAGTCTAGAGGGTCTTGGCTCACTTCATTCTTCTCTCATTCCCCAACTTCCCAGAACGACTCCATTTACACCTGCTACTTCAATCACCTCCCATATATAAAAGATTCACAAATCTGCATCTCCAGTTTCCTTTTTCATCTTAGATACAAAAGTGTGTATTAACTGGCATACTGGGCATCCTAAGGACCTGAAATTGAATATGTCTAAAACTGATTTCATTCTTTTTTCAAGCCCCACAACACTGATTTGCTATTTGTATTCTTTCCCAGTTTCACTGAGTATACAACGATCAACCCAATAACTAAAGCTTGATTTCCCATCTCTATCACTGCTTATGTCTAAGCCATCTCCAGTGAAGATTATCTCATAATTATTTCCTACATCATTACATTTTTATCATGATGGTTACAATTCTGGTATAGGCTACAATAATTTATCACCTGGATTAGTACCAGACCCTTCTTCATCTTCAGTCTTGACCATTCCAAACTGTTTTTTCTCTTGTAAGCAGAGCAATGTCCTTAAATGAAAATCTAAATTCTAAAGGTTTATCACTATTTCTGGCACAAAATTATAAAATAAAACCTCATCTAAAGCAGAAACTCAACTATCAGAATTGAACTAGTGAGTATATATAAGTAGTTTTTTCATACCAGTCTTTTTTATTCCTCCACAGATTAAAACTAGATGAAAAGGTACATTTAAAGGACTTGAAATTTTACTGGATGGAACATGATGGTGGCTCATTTTTAATGTCCAAAGTAGACCAAGATCTCATTTTGGCTCAGAAAAAGGTAATTATAAATAGAATCACTTTAATGAAATTCATATTTAGGCCAATAGATGCCATTCTCATTCTTTTCCTTTACTGTCCGCCAGACATTTCTGTGTCAGCATACAGAATTAAAGTGATCACAAAAGTTGTACTAAGTAATTTTTGTTGCAACTTTTATAGTTTTTTGATATTTTATTCGTCTTTTTATAAGAAAAGGGAAGATTTAAAAATCTTCCTTTTAAAGCAAATAAATTGCTTTATTTGCTATTCTAATCTGCTCCTATTTTAAATAATTCTATAGTAAAATGAAATAATGAAACAAATTTGTCTTTTTAAAAGCAAAAGCTCATTTGAAGAAGAAGAGTGATAAGAGGAAGAAAGAGCCCTGTCAAATTTATTAAATAATTCCTTAAAAACTATAGTAAATCTACATGTGACACCATTAAAAATAATACAGATTGTTATTTGGAAAACAAGTCATTGTACAGGGTCCCACAGAAATAATGCTAGCTTGAATGTGGTTGGTAAGGTAATAATATGGGTCTAATAATTTATAGTTTTAATTTGATTATTTCACCTAAAATGTCATATGGTGTGCTTGGGTATGATATGTTACAGAATTACATGCTTATGATTTTCTAATAAAAAAGGATGGCTCTGGCTGGTATGGTTCAATGGATTGAGCACTGGCCTGCAAACCAAAGGCTTGCTGGTTCGATTCCCAGTCATGACACATGCCTGGGTTGTGGGCCAGGTCCCAGATGGGGGGTGTGCAAGAGGCAAACACACATTAATGTTTCTCTCCCTCTCTTTCTCCCGCCCTTCCCCTCCCTCTCTAAAAACAAACAAACAAATAAATAATCTTTTAAAAAACTTGACATTTGTGCTGGACCCTGTATATCTATAACATCAAGAAAATTCATGTAAAGACTCTCACAGTAAGGTTAACAAGTATCTTAATTAAAGTCACATCATCCCTATATCAGAAATCATCCCCATATACTAGAAACAACTAGTAGAAAATGAATTTAAAATGCCTATGAATTAGTGGAAACATAGGTGTGAAACCTAAATGAAGACAATTATAAAATTGAGTGCCATACTATAATAGACAAAGCAACAAACAACAAATGTTGGAGAGGGTGTGGGGAAAAGGGGACCTTAGTTCACTGTTGGTGGGATTGTAGACTGGTACAACCATTATGGAAAACAGTATGGAATTTTCTCAGAAAAATAAAAATTGACCTGCCTTTTGACCCAGCAATTCCTGCTAGGATTATACCCCAAGAATCCTAAAACATCAATTTCAAAGAACCTATGCACCACAATGTTCATAGCAGCACAATTTACAATAGCCAAGAGTTGGAAGCAACCTAGGTGCCCATCAGTAAATGAATGGATCCAAAAATTGTGGTACATATACACCATGGAATTTTATGCAGCAGAGAGAAAGAAGGAGCTACTACCTTTTGCAACAACATGGATGGAACTGAAAAGCATTATGCTGAGTGAAATAGGCCAGGCATTGAAGGACAAATACCATATGATCTCACCTTTGACAGGAAGCTAAAGAATAAAACAAACAAGCAAACAGAATAAAAACAAAGACGCTGAAATAGAGAACAAGTGGGCAGCGACCAGAGGGGAGAGGGAAGGGAACTTAAGGGGAAAAAGGGGGAGGGATTTTTTGAGGAACAAGTATGAAAGACACAGAGATGAGGACTGGGGGGGATTGGGAGGGAGGGGGAGACCGGAGCGGGGGGGGGAAGAGAAAAAAAATGTACTTGAAAAGTAACTAAATAAAATTTAATATTTAAAAAAAATTGAGTGCCATAAAAGATCACTTCAATATATGAAGACAGACATGGCAACCCATTCTCTTCTGGGCTGAAAAGTTTATGGTGAAAAATCCTGCACTTACCTTTATGTAACTTCTCTCTTTGCTTTTGCTGATCTTAAAATTCTTTCTTTCTCTTTGATTTTTGACAATTTAATTATAATGCATCTTGGTGTAGCCCTATTTGTGATATTTTGGGCTTCATGACTATGGATGGTCATTTCTTTCCCCAGGTTCAGGAATATTTCTGTAATTATTGTTTTAAATATACTTTCTGTCCCCTTATGATTCTCCTTTCCTTCTAAAAGTTTCATAATGTGAAACTTGTTTGTTTTCGTTGTGTCCCATAATTCTCATAGGCTTTTTTCATTTCTTTTTTAATGCCCCTCTGACTGGGTAATTTCTAATGTTCAAGCCACTGATTGTTCTGCATGGTCAAGTCTACTTTTGAAACTCTGTATCGAATTCTTCAGTTTCATTATTATATTTTTCTTTATTAGGATTTTTAGGATTTTTGATGGTAGCTTTTTCTTTGTTGTACTACTTGTTTTGTTCATGTATTGTTTTCCTGATTTTGTTTACTTGTCTGTGTTTTCTTGTAGTTCATAAAACTTTCTTAAGAGGATTATTCTGAATTCTTTATCCGACAGTTTATTGATCTCTATTTTTTAGGGCAGTTATTAGAGCTTTCTTTGTTTCCATTGGTGATGTCATATTTACCTGATTTTTTGTGATCCTTGCTTTCTTACATTGGTATCTGTGCATTTCAGTAATTAGACATAGACAAATCTTTCCCAGCCACCTCAGTTTTGCATTCTGTGTACATACTTCAGCAGGTGTGGCTGCTATTACGGTCTGTTTTCTAGGTGAAGATACTGTTCAAGCTCTGAGGATAGGCATAGGGGTTTTGCCTCTGGCTGAGAACAGTTGGCTGGGCTGCTGACTTGTTTTCCCATACAAGTAAGGATGTGGGATTGGCTCTGTGGTTGCCTGGATTCTCTGGTTAGTCTTAGTACATGTCAGGACACATTCAGTTGTAGATGGGGCCCTGAATTAGCTTCTCTGCCCTGACAGGGCAGCAGGACAGAACTCAGGACCTGTACAGCTCATCGTTTGGGTAGCTGAATCAGGCCAGAGTGTACACCAAATTCCCTGATCAGGTAAGGCTTTGATTTTCAGATGGGGGAAGCCACAGGCCGTATTGTCTCTTCAAGTAACATTGTACATATGATTGATGAATAGGCTGCACAGCTTCCTGTGTGCTATGGTTACATTCATTGGTTGGACAGGCTGAAGTCTGTATTCAGCAATATATGAGGCTACACATAAGATTCCCTGCCTGGCACAGCGGAAGAAGTATCTATAAAGCTGGTAAGGTTCTTTCTTATGTTAATAAAGCCAAACTGCATCACAAGTTCCTTGGCAAAATAGGGCCACTGGATTTGGTTTACAAACTTTTGGTTCTGCTTACCTCCTTTTAGCTCTAGCACCAGTGGGCAGCATAACTTCCAGAAATTGTCAACAGCCCTTTTAGTCATATGAGGCCAGAAGACACTATCAACTACGGGGATACTAAGTCTTAGCTCCTTGCATAGGTGGGAGGGTGAGGGGCCACTCCAGGTTACTCTCAATTTTCCAAACAAGCTCTCTGGTTGGGAGGGGCCAGAAGTTACCATCAGCCTTGGATATCATTTTATATCCCTGCCTATGCATAGTAAGGGAGCCATCCATGCCTTGTGCTAGCTTTCCTCTGGAGATGGTCAGTTCTGCCCTCTTGACACTAGGCTGGAGTGTTGCACTCTGTGGAATACCCCACACCACACAGTTTCTAGGAGTTGTCCCTAGCACTCTGGTTCAATGGGGCCTTAAGTTACTTTCCAGAGGGGGTGGGGCTATGAATCTACTCCTCGTCTGGGCATTAGCAAATTGGGCCCTAGGGCTAGCAAAATTCCTCATTTGAGGACTGAAATCAGGCATACCTGTACTCTGCTGAATTCCCTGGGCAGAATATGCTGATAACTTTGTTCTCCAGAGGAGCAAAACTATTGGTTGTCATTAGTACTTGGCACTGAAGTTATGATCTTGGTCTGCCAAGATCCATGTGCTGGTTGTTTCAAGCCCCTCCTCTTTCTCCATCACATATTTGAAGTGGTTGAGCTTCCCAGATTAGCTTGCAATACCCATAGGTTAAGTAAAATCAGAGTAGTGGCTTGACAAAGTGAATTCAATACTGGGAGGGTACTGATTATCTCCACTGGGTTCTCTTTTTCAATAGGAGGACCTTGAGGCTCAGGAGTAGCCTCGGTATATGGTGCAGCTAAGGTCTGGGGAAGGAACAATACAGTCAACGTGTAACCCCTTCTCTTATCTTTCTTACATAGTCTGTCTCACTTCTGTGGTACAGAGGGTTGCTTCAGCCTCATCTCCATGTTTTAGGGTTTTCTCAGTGGTGTCTTGTCATTGAATATTTGTTAGTGTTTCTTGTGAGGGAGAGTGAAGTCAGAAATGTCCTATTTTGCCATCTTGGTGACATTACTTATGAGCTAATCCAGTCTGCCTTCTATACATAATTTTTAAAAGAATGTTTTATCACAGATAAATGTTGTTTTGTCAAGTGCTTTTTCTGCATCATTCAAGCTAACATGATTATTTCTTTCATTTTATTAATGAAACCTATCATATTGATTGATTTGTGTATGTTGAATCATCCTTGCATCCAGGTATAAATTCCAATAAATTATGGTGAATGATTTTTTTAATGTGTTGTTGAATTGTTTTTTATTATTTTCTGAAAGGTATTTGCACTTAGGTTTATTAGGGATATTGGCACGTAGTTTTCTTTTCTGGTGGGTCCTTTCCTACCTTTGGTATCAGGGTAATTTTGTCCTACTAAAAATGAGTTCAGGAGTGTTCCCTCTTTGTTGATTTTTTGGGGAGACTTTAAGAAAGATAGCATCAATTCTTCTTTAACTGTTTGGTAAAACTCACATGTGAAGTCATCTAGTCCTAAGATTTTCTTCACTCTCTATTTTTTTATTGAGGTTATTAGGGTAACAATGGATGACAAAACCATGCACGTTTCACATGCACAAGTCAACAAAACATCCTCTATATACTGCATCATGCACCCATCACCCACAGGAGTGTTTTCCATCCCCATTTGTCCCCACTTCGCACTCTTCCACCTCCCCCCAGCTGCCTTTTTCTCTGCCTATCACCATACTATTGTTTGTGTCTATGTATTACATATATATTTTTGCTTAATCTCTTCATCTTTTATTCACACAACACCCCAGTCTCCTTTCCATGACAGCTGTC